TTTCTCGACATCTTCCAGTGTTTGTGATCTCTGTTTTGTTATCACTTTTACCCCTTTCACAACATCAGCTTCCTTGATTTTGTTCTTCGTTACGATGGAACTGATGGTTGATGAAGGCTTGCCATACATCCTCATGATGTCGTTCACACGTAAGCCGCGTTCATATTTTTCAATGATTTTCTTTAATTTTATCGTGTTTGTCACCTTCCTTACCAAAGGACTGGCACTATTTGCTTTGTTTGGGCCAATGGTGGCTTATTTAGCAGTCACACAGAATAAACAAGTGCAAGAAACAACGAATTGTTACGAAATAATTCCTATGAGCTCGCAGGGTAATGTTCACTCGCCCATAAACAAAGTGACACTGCCTTCTCAGAATGCGTGTGTGGGAGGTTGTGTGCGGTACTCAATTACTAAAAAGCCTAAAAGAAAATTTTGAAATGGGTGTTTGTGCACGAGTGTTAATGTGGTAAATGAGAAATGTTTTAGCAGTAAGTGAAGCAAAAATAAAAGGGATAGGAGAGAGGAGTAAATGGGATGGAGTCCGATATATCTGAGAGAATTGGAGCTAAGAAAGGAGTTTAGCTGGAGGGTGTTCCCTCATGAAGTCAGGGATCTGTTGGCAATTCCCCTTACGTTTGATGGGAGAATAAAGAGGGGATGTGAGAAATGGGCTAAAGCCCGACCCAGGGCCAGGCTCCACGAGTAGAAAAACTATCAAAACTCGTCAAAGGTAAAGGTAAGGTTGTGCTTATGTACATAGCTTAGCTGAAAGAGCTAAGCTATGTACATAAGCACATAGGACTGCATTATTTAGTTTTTCCCAAAATATGGGGGGGGGGGAGTATTTTTGGACTTGGAGAACAAGTTTTAGGTTGGAGGTCTGGACCCCAAAATGGTTGAAAAGGAAGTACAGTGGACCCCCGCATAACGATTACCTCCGAATGTGACCAATTATGTAAGTGTATTTATGTAAGTGCGTTTGTATGTGTATGTTTGGGGGTCTGAAATGGACTAATCTACTTCACAATATTTCTTATGGGAACAAATTCGGTCAGTACTGGCACCTGAACATACTTCTGGAGTGAAAAAATATCGTTAACCGGGGGTCCACTGTATTATAAAAGGTTATATAGTAACTAAGGATTTCCCCTTCAAAGATGATGTAACGTTTGGGTGGAACATATTACAAATTTGCTTTAAATTTACTTAAAATTCTTTTTATTGTGATTATGATGTGTGATGACTGAACATCATTTGTTGAGATGCTCAGACACTCGAGTCCATGAGAAGTCTTCAAGTGTTTGGCAACACTTGTAGACATCTCATGGACTTGAAGGATGCTAACTAGTCATCAGGAAGTTGGCTCATTGTAACAGATGGTGTGTAGTCATCACTTGTCACTACCAGGAACATCATAACTTAGAATACGGAGTTTCATCATATCCAAAATACTAGCACTATGTATTGCATTCAAGCAAAACACAGCCATTACTTAGCCCCTTTCCTTCCTGTCCTCAACATATCCAGCAGTACTTCTCATGTGGTTAGCAAAATGTATCCTCAGTAAATGTCTTGATAATTACATAAGTATCTTTCTCTTATACAGTATACAGTTTGTCATGACAGTAGTAAATTGGTAGTGATAGCAAAATTAAGACACCTAAAAACTGGTGATTAATGATAGCAACTTTTGATAGTAAAACCACTGAATATCAAAATGGTTTTACTAGAATTGTAAATCATAAAATTTGACTATACATGCTTGATGTTATCTTTGTGCATATAGAGAGAAAAGCAGATATGTCAGAGTTGCTGGTTGTAGAATAATCCTGTTATAACCTTCATTGGAAGCTTTGCACTTTTAAGTATTATTGCTGTAAATACCTTTTTAAACAGGTGCTCTTGCTGAAAATGGCCGAATGTCAAATATAGAGGGTGTTGTTGCTGCATTTGCAACTATAATGGCAGCAGTTAGAGGAGAAATCCTGTGTGAAGTCACTACTGCTAAGGTGAGCTTTAGCCCTTTATCCTTAACCCTTAAACTGTCCAAACGTAGATCTACGTTTGCACCACTAGTGCTCTGAACGTAGGTCTACTTTTTTTTTTTTTTGTATTTGAAAGCATGTAAAAAAAAAAAATGTAGATCTATGTTCGTAGCGCTAGTGGTGCAAACGTAGATCTACGTTTGGACAGTTTAAAGGTTAAGATACTTTACTATTATTAATGCAGAATATTAAAAGATTTTAATCTGCAGATGGAAAACTGCTGTACTTCTACCAAGATGTTCTCTACATTTTTCGCCCTTTTCAGTAACTATTACCATACTTGCATTTTGTTATTCTATCACTGATTTAATATCTGTGATTGTTGTATTGCACCCATCAAACAATGTGACTAGCACAGGAAATTCAAGGCAAATTTGTCTTATTTTTTTAACCTGCTCAGTTCTCCCTATTCATAGATTACCTGTAGATGGTCCTAGGGGTCATGTTCCCTACAACCTAATCTGAAACCAGGCATACTGGTTGATGGTCTCGTCAGTCAGGCATTTAGTTCAATGTAGTGGTGGATTATATCACTTGGAGTCTACCTGGAAGGTGTTCTGGGGCCTAACACCCCTACAGCACAGCCCATGACCAGACCTCATGGTGGATCAAGGCCTGATCGACCAGGCTGTTACTGCCGGCTGCACGCAATCCAACATGCGAACCACAACCCGGCTGGTTAGGTACTGACTCCGTGCAGCTTCCTCTTGAAGACAGCTAGGGGTCTACTGGTAATCCCGCTTATGTATGTTTGGAGGCAGTTGAACAGTCTTGGGGTCCCTGACACTTACTGTGTTCTTAGTGTACTCACGGCACCCCGTTTTTCACTGGGGGGATGTTGCACCACCTGCCGAGTCTTTTGCTTTTGTCAGGCGTGATTTCTGTGTGCAGATTTGGGAATAGACCCTCTTGGGTTTTCCAGGTGTAAATTATGATGCATCTTTCTCACTTGCTTTCAAAGGAGTACTGGTCAAGGGACTTCAAATGGTCCCAGTAGTTAGAAAAAAGAAATTTGGCAAAATAACTGTACAAAATGCAAGCAAAACACAAGAGAAAGGCTTCCATGGCGAGGTAAACAGTGCAATGTGCCAAGTTTTTGTTTTTGTTTGTTGTTTTTGTTGTTTTTGTTTTTGTTGTTTTTGTTTTTGTTTGTTGTTTTTGTTTTTGTTTTTGTTGTTTTTGTTGTTGTTTTTGTTGTTGTTTTTGTTGTTTTTGTTTTTGTTGTTTTTGTTGTTTTTGTTGTTTTTGTTTTTGTTTGTTGTTTTTGTTGTTTTTGTTTTTGTTTTTGTTGTTTTTGTTGTTGTTTTTGTTGTTTAGGGAACTGGAGCACAGATCCAATTCCCTAGATCAAGAGCTCCTCACCAGAATCAAGGTTTCTTGATGCTGGTGAGGGGCTCTTGATCTAAGGAATTGGATCTGTGCTCCAGTTCTCTTAATTAATAACGATAATAATTATTATAATAGTGAGGAGCTTCAGAATGCCGCCACTAGTTGGCGCAGCGAATGCCATGACATCTGCTGAGCAGTGCAGTGTTTTCCCTCGCTGTGGAAGCATTTTTCTCATGGTTTGGTTGCATTTTGTACAGTTATTTTGCTAAATTTCTTTTTTCTAACCCTGGGTCCTAAGAAGGTAAGTGCAAAGGACAGTGCTGAGAAGTGTAGCAAGTTAAGCGATTAAGTGATTGAAAAAGGGCAAAACGAAACTAACTCCTCCAATGATGATGTTGGGGTTTATAGAGCCACTGACAGCATACTTTGCTCTGCCTATCTTCCACCCTCAACCTTTGCCACCATCTCTTCTCCAAGGTACGTAAATATGTATGTACACTTTATCAAACCAGTTTATTTCATCACATTCTCTATTATGTTTTTTTTTTTTTTTTTTTTTTTTTTTTCAACAAGTCGGCCGTCTCCCTCCGAGGCAGGGTGACCCAAAAAAGAAAGAAAATCCCCAAAAAGAAAATACTTTCATCATCATTCAACACTTTCACCACACTCGCACATTATCACTGTTTTTGCAGAGGTGCTCAGAATACAACAGTCTAGAAGCATACACATATAAAGATTCACAACATATCCCTCCAAACTGCCAATATCCCAAACCCCTCCTTTAAAGTGCAGGCATTGTACTTCCCATTTCCAGGAACTCAAGTCCGACTATATGAAAATAACCGGTTTCCCTGAATCCCTTCAACTAAATATTACCCTGCTCACACTCCAACAGATTGTCAGGTCCCAAGTACCATTCGTCTCCATTCACTCCTATCTAACACGCTCACGCACGCTTGCTGGAAGTCCAAGCTCCTTGCCCACAAAACCTCCTTTACCCCCTCTCTCCAACCCTTTCGAGGACGACCCCTACCCCGCCTTCCTTCCCCTATAGATTTATATGCTTTCCATGTCATTCTACTTTGATCCATTCTCTCTAAATGACCAAACCACCTCAACAACCCCTCTTCTGCCCTCTGACTAATACTTTTTATTAACTCCACACCTTCTCCTAATTTCCACACTCCGAATTTTCTGCATAATATTTACACCACACATTGCCCCTTTAAAAAGGACATCTCCACTGCCTCCAACCGTCTCCCCGCTGCTGCATTTACCACCCAAGCTTCACACCCATATAAGAGTGTTGGTACTACTATACTTTCATCATTCCCTTCTTTGCCTCCATAGATAATGTTTTTTGACTCCACATATACCTCAACGCACCACTCACCTTTTTTCCCTCATCAATTCTATGATTAACCTCATCCCTTCATAAATCCACCGCCGACACGTCAAATCCCAAGTATCTGAAAACATTCACTTCTTCCATACTCCTCCTCCCCAATTTGATATCCAATTTTTCTTATCTAATCATTTGACACCCTCATCACCTTACTCTTTTCTATGTTCACTTTCAACTTTCTACCTTTACACACATTCCCAAACTCATCCACTAACCTTGCAATTTTTCTTTAGAATCTCCCATAAGCACAGTATCATCAGCAAAAAGTAACTGTGTCAATTCCCATTTTGAATTTGATTCCCCAAAATTTAATCCCACCCCTCTCCCGAACCCCTAGCATTTACTTCCTTTACAACCCCATCTATAAATATATTAAACAACCATGGTGACATTACACATCCCTGTCTAAGACCTACTTTTACCGGAAGTAGTCTCCCTCTCTTCTACACACCCTAACCTGGCCTCACTATCCTCATAAAAACTCTTTACAGCATTTAATAACTTACCACCTATTCCATATACTTGCAACATCTGCCACATTGCTCCTCTATCCACTCATCATATGCCTTTTCTAAATCCATAAATGCAATAAAATTCCCACCTTTATCTAAATAACTGTTCACATATATGCTTCAATGTAAACACTTGATCTACACATCCCCTACCCACTCTGAAACCTCCTTGCTCATCCGCAATCCTACATTCTGTCTTACCTCTAATTCTTTCAATTATAACCCTACCGTACACTTTTCCTGGTTACTCAGTAAGCTTATTCCTCTATAATTTTACAGTCTCTTTTGTCCCCTTTCCTTTATATAAAGGGACTATACATGCTCTCCGCCAATCCCTAGGTACCTTCCCCCTTTCATACATTTATTAAACAAAAGTACCAACCACTCCAACACTATATCCCCCTGCTTTTAACATTTCTGTCATGATCCCATCAGTTCCAGCTGCTTTACCCCCTTTCATTTTACGTAATGCTCACGTACCTCCCCCACACTTACATTCTGCTCTTCTTCACTCCTAAAAGATGGTATACCTCCTGACCAGTGCATGAAATTACTGCTTCTGTTTCTTCCTTAACATTTAAAAGTTCCTCAAAATATTCTCGCCATCTACCCAATACCTCCATCTCCCATCTACTAACTCCCCTACTCTGTTTTTAACTGACAAATCCATATTTTCCCTAGGCTTTCTTAACTTGTTTAACTCACTCCAAAATTTTTTCTTATTTTCATTAAATTTTTTTGACAGTGCCTCTCCCACTCTATCATCTGCTCTCCTTTTGCACTCTCTCACCACTCTCTTTACCTTTCTTTTACTCTCCATATACTCTGCTCTTCTTATAACACTTCTGCTTTGTAAAAACCTCTCATAAGCTACCTTTTCTCTTTTATCACACCCTTTACTTCATCATTCCACCAATCACTCCTCTTTCCTCCTGCTCCCACCCTCCTATAACCACAAACTTCTGCCCACATTCTAATACTGCATTTTTAAAACTATTCCAACCCTCTTCAACCCCCCCACTACTCATCTTTGCACTAGCCCACCTTTCTGCCAATAGTTGCTTATATCTCACCCGAACTTCTCTCCTCCCTTAGTTTATACACTTTCACCTCCCTCTTACTTGTTGTTGCCACCTTCCTCTTTTCCCATCTACCTCTTACTCTAACTGTAGCTACAACTAAATAATGATCCGATATATCAGTTGCCCCTCTATAAACATGTACATCCTGGAGCCTACCCATCAACCTTTTATCCACCAATACATAATCTAATAAACTACTTTCATTACGTGCTACATCATACCTTGTATATTTATTTATCCTCTTTTTCATAAAATATGTATTACTTATTACCAAATTTCTTTCTACACATAGCTCAATTAAAGGCTCCCCATTTACATTTACCCCTGGCACCCCAAATTTACCTACTACTCTCCTCCATAACATTTTTACCCACTTTAGCATTGAAATCCCCAACCACCATTACTCTCACACTTGATTCAAAACTCCCCACACATTCACTCAACATTTCCCAAAATCTCTCTCTCTCCTCTACACTTCTCTCTTCTCCAGGTGCATACATGCTTATTATAACCCACTTTTCACATCCAATCTTTATTTTACTCCACATAATCCTTGAATTAATACATTTATAGTCCCTCTTTTCCTGCCATAGCTTATCCTTCAACATTATTGCTACTCCTTCTTTAGCTCTAACTCTATTTGAAACCCCTGACCTAATCCCATTTATTCCTCTCCACTGAAACTCTCCCACCCCCTTCAGCTTGTTTCACTTAAAGCCAGGACATCCACTTCTTCTCATTCATAAACATCCACAATCATCTCTTTCTTATCATCTGCACAACATCCACGCACATTCAGACTTCCCACTTTGACAATTTTCTTCTTCTTATTCTTTTTAGTAATCTTACAGGAAAAGGGGTTACTAGCCCATTGTTTCCCAGCATTTTAGTTGACTTTTACAACACGCATGGCTGACGGAGGAAAGATTCTTATTCCACTTCCCCATGGATATAAAAGGAAAATTAATAAGACCAAGAACTATTAAGATAAAATCAAAGAAAACTCAGATGAGTGTGTATAAATAAATGTGTACATGTATGTGTAGTGTGACCTAAGTGTAAGTAGAAGTAGCAAGACATGCCTGTAATCTTGCATATTTATGAGACAGACAAAAGACATCAGCAATCCTACCATCATGTAAAACAATCACAGGCTTTCGTTTTACACTCACTTGGCAGGACGGTAGTACCTCCCTGGGTGGTTGCTGTCTACCAACCTACTACCTACTATTATGTTTATATACAATATTTCTTATTTATAAATACGTTGTTCCAGTGTTTTCCATATGAAACTAGTGATCTAGTGCAGTTAGCCACACAAACACTCATTTTCAGAAGGGGGAAGAATGGAAAGATATGGTCAGTGCGGGAGTGGGAGTAGCGGGCAGCCACCACTTGCCATATTATGGCCTGTTTTATTCATTCTATGTTATATTGTTTATTATGTCATATTAAATCAGTTGTGATAGAAAAATAAACTGTAGAGTTGATATAAGTGTTATATTGAAGTATTTTGTCCTGCCTCCTGAAAGCAGGAATTCTGCTGGAACGGATTAATGGCATTTCAGTTAATTTAAACGAGGAAAACTGATTTGACATACAGTAGGGACCCCAATTATACGGCAGGTTAGGTTCTGGGCTACTGCTGTAAAGCGGAAATTGCCGTAAAGTGGAACACCCTTTTTTTCTGCTTAAAATGCATATAAATACTTGATAACAAGTCTACACTAACATATATTAAGTTAGCACTAGAACTAGGCATTAAGAAACAAAAAAGTAAAATACACATATAGTACGCTCATTACTTACCTTAAAATATTTGTAGTCTTAATCTAGGGTGAGACGAGTAGTATTTCTTTCTTTCAACACATCGGCCGTATCCCATCGAGGCGAGGTGGCCCAAAAGGAAAAACGAAAGTTTCTTCTTTTACATTTAGTAATATATATACAGGAGAAGGGGTTACTAGCCCCTTGCTCCTGGCATTTTAGTCGCCTCTTACAACACGCATGGCTTATGGAGGAAGAATTCTGATCCACTTTCCCATGGAGATAGGAAATAGACAAGAACAAGAACTAGAAAGAAAATAGAAGAAAACCCTGAGGGGTATGTATATATATGCTTGTACATGTATGTGAAGTGTGACCTAAGTGTAAGTAGATGTAGCAAGACTTACCTGAAATCTTGCATGTTTATGAGATAGAAAAAGGGACACCAGCAATCCTACCATCATGTAAAACAATTACAGGCTTTCGTTTTACACTCACTCGGCAGGACGGTAATACCTCCCTGGGCAGTTGCTGTCTACCAACCTACTACCTAAATGAGTAGTATTTATTGTAAGAAATCAAATATGGTATATATGGTAGCCAGCCAGGCTACCATACCAGGCCAACCCACCCACACATAATATTCTATGACATTTAAGCATTCCAGAGCAATAAAATGCATATACAGTTCACTCATTACTTAACCTTAAAATATTTGTAGTCTTAATGTTGGGTCAGAGGTGAATAAACGAGATAAAAAAATGAATAAACGAGAGAGAGAGAGAGAGAGAGAGAGAGAGAGAGAGAGAGAGAGAAAATGAGAGAGAGGAGAGAGAGAGAGAGAAATGAGAGAGAGAGAGAGAGAAAATGAGAGAGAGAGAAAATGAGAGAGAAAATGAGAGAGAGAGAAAATGAGAGAGAGAGAAAATGAGAGAGAGAGAAAATGAGAGAGAGAGAAAATGAGAGAGAGAGAAAATGAGAGAGAGAGAGAGAGAGAGAGAGAGAGAAAATGAGAGAGAGAGAGAAAATGAGAGAGAGAGAGAGAGAGAAATGAGAGAGAGAGAGAAGAGAATGAGAGAAGAGAATGAGAGAGAAAATGAGAGAAAATGAGAGAGAAAATGAGAGAGAGAGAGAGAAAATGAGAGAAAATGAGAGAGAGAGAGAGAGAAAAATGAGAGAGAAAATGAGAGAGAGAGAGAGAAATGAGAGAGAATGAGAGAGAGAGAGAGAGAATGAGAGAGAGAGAGAGAATGAGAGAGAGAGAGAGAGAATGAGAGAGAGAATGAGAGAGAGAGAGAATGAGAGAGAGAATGAGAGAGAGATTGAGAGAGAAAATGAGAGAGAGAAAATGAGAGGGGAAAAATGAGAGAGAAAATGAGAGAGAGAGAAAATGAGAGAGAAAATGAGAGAGAGAATGAGAGAGAGAGAGAGAGAGAATGAGAGAGAGAATGAGAGAGAGAGAGAGAGAATGAGAGAGAGAGAATGAGAGAGAGAGAATGAGAGAGAGAGAGAGAATGAGAGAGAGAATGAGAGAGAGAATGAGAGAGAGAGAATGAGAGAGAGAGAGAAATGAGAGGGAGAATGAGAGAGGGAGAATGAGAGAGGGAGAATGAGAGAGAGAATGAGAGAGAGAGAGAGAATGAGAGAGAGAGAATGAGAGAGAGAGAGAGAATGAGAGAGAGAGAATGAGAGAGAATGAGAGAGAGAATGAGAGGGAGAATGAGAGAGAGAGAATGAGAGGGAGAATGAGAGAGAGAGAATGAGAGAGAGAGAATGAGAGAGAGAGAGAGAATGAGAGAGAGAGAGAGAGAGAGAATGAGAGAGAGAGAGAGAGATAATGAGAGAGAGAGAGAGAGAATGAGAGAGAGAGAATGAGAGAGAGAGAGAGAGAGAATACGTACATGAGGGAGGACAGGTGCTGAGTTATGTAAACAAACCAGGCGAATGCAAGTTTTGTAAACAAACCAGGTGTACACGTCTGGTTTGTGTACAAGTTACGTTATGTACAACTGTATACGACATTTAATGAGACTCGGTGATTATTATTATTATCATCATTAATATGGTGTCTCGAGACATAAGACACTCTTAGTGATTTTAATGTTTACCTGCATGCTAACATAATGTGTAAGTTTATTTAGGTACAGGTAGTATACATAATTATCAGAGTATATATAAAATGTGAAATAACTTTTAAAAACACTTAAAATTTTGGAGTTTCCAGACATAATGGAGAAACTTAGTGCTTATGGATCTCACAGAATGTAAACAAACTGGGTGGGGCACAGTGACCGTATTAGAAAGTCAGGTGGGGGAGCCGTATAGAGAGTTTTGGTCATAATTTGAAATGACCGTATTAGCAGAACACCGTAAAGCGAAACGCTGTAGCCGTAAAGTGGGGCCCTACTGTACAAGCAAATTGAGTTACGAGCTAGGTCACGGAACAGATTAAGCTCATAAGTCGAGCTTCCACTGTATATTTGCAAACACAAATGTCATATTGCTTGTTTGTTGGGGGCTTTATTTGTTGGCACTAATATTTGTTTTTGAGTGGGGGGGCCACTGGCTAGGCCTCCATTCCAACAAGGCTTCGAGGAGGTGGAGTATTTTTATCATTTCCTGCCGATGTTTTCCTCTTGGCACTAAAAAATCTTTTTATTGAATGATTGTAGCTATCATGGTTTATTTCCCAAGATTTTTAGGATCTGTATCTTCTTATCCCTTTTCAAATAGTGTGCCTGGCAATGTGTGTTGTAACATTGCCTTTCATGAACTGATAACACATTTCAGGGTGAAAAAGTTCACAGGAAGAAGAATGACACTCCTTTAGTCATTAGGTCATGGCATTTTTTTTTGGATTGTCAGAATTGCATGCCTACAGATATCCTAGCATAGATTCTGCACAAATTTATTTTCTGTTTACTACACACAACCCTCTACATAGTCCTTTACCTTTTTTTCCTTCCATGTGTTACCATTATGGTAACATTTATGTCACTTATTTTTTTTTTCTGTTTCTCAAGCCACTTGTGCTCTATAAGTGTCAAAGGGCTCTTGATCCAAAAAATTGGAGCTTCTTTCCCCAGATCAGTCTGATAACTGTTTCCACAAGGCACTATAACCAATATTTAGTGTTTCCATGTGGTATTAACCCAGTATTCCAGTGGGCTTCTGAAAACAAGTTCAATAAGAAGAAATTTCAGTTATTCCCTTACGGAAAAATTGAGGAAATACAAACTAGAATGGAGTATAAAGCCAAATTTAACTACACGCTAGAGTGGAAAACTAATGTGAAAGATTTCGTGATAATATCAGAGGATCTTGCATCAAGGATCACCATCTTTGATGGAAATTCCCTCTGAGTTTTTAACAAATACTCACCTGTTACACCAACAATGATGTTAATTTTACACCTTCACTAACCCTTAATTCCATTAACCCCTCTTATAACTTGAAACACACACATGCTAAATGACCCATTCAGGTTTGGCATTTTTTTTTATTTATATGCTTTATCCATAAACAGTATTAAAGTTGGTCTGGTTAAAATTGCTGATGTTTTATTTTTCAGGCATTAGATGCTGCTATGAAGAATGAGCTAGAGTCATCCCTTAAAGCATTCTTGCAGCCAGGCGAGAGCCTTCAGTTGAGCTTGAAGGTTGATCCATCAATTATTGGAGGCATGTTAGTTTCGGTTGGTGATAAGTACATAGACATGTCCATGGCTTCAAAGATCAACAGGTTTACTTCTCTCCTCCAGGAAGCTGTGTAGGTTGTGTTAATATTACTTATGTAGATATGTATGCCTCTTTAGGATGGTTCTGGGGATCAACACCCGTATTACCTGGTCTCAAACCAGGTCTTCTAAATTTGAAAATAAATACAGTGGGACTAAGAACCATTAAGAAATACAGGAAAATGGCAATTTTTAGATTTATCAGTCAGCTTACATGTTGAGATGGTTATGATTATAAAAATATGCCAGAGTACAAAACAGTTAACAGCTTTGTTTTACACTTGCAATAAGATGGTAGTATGTCCCTTTGTGAGTGTTTTACAATAATAATAATAATAATAATATAAAGTTGATTTTTCTTCACTGCTACACTGTGTACAAAAATATACTGCATGTATCTGTAAATTAAAGCTGGTAGAAAGGCTTTTTATTTACCTCTTGGACTTATTGGAAGCTATATTTTATCTTTAGTATTGACCCTTATGGGTTTAAGTGCTTAGTTATTGACCTCTGCATATCTCTTTAGGACATCCCACTCTGTAGCACTATATGACCCTTTTGGGTTTAGTGCTTAGTTTTATTATTATTATGATTATTATTTTTATCCTCTTCAAAGGGGTTCCTTGCTGTAGTCCTCTTCAAGGGGGGCTCCTTGGTGTGGTGAAGAGGCTCTTGGTCTGGGGAAAATTACCCCTGTGGGTTTCTTCCTCGGACAAAACCCAAAAATTAAACCCCCTTTTCCCCTCCCCTACCCCATCCCCCCCGGGCCTCCTTTTTCCTTTCCCTCCCCCCCTCCTCCCCCTTTTTTTTTGCCCTTCCTTTTTTTGGGCCCTTTTTGGATTTTTTCCCACAGGGCGCGTGTTCCTAGGGGGGGAAAAAAAGGGGAACCCCGGGGTAAAACCCCATTTCTTTTGAGGTTCTTGGGGGGGTGGCGTATTTTTGGAATAATCTGGATTCCCCTTGGGGATGTCCCGATCCCCCCGGGTTTTACCCCGGAGAAAACCCCTTTGGGTGTCTTTCGGGTGGGGGGTGTATCTTGGAAGCCCCTTTGGGGTTTTTCCGGGGGGGGTGGCCGTAGGAGGTATGCTTTGTGGGGATTTTTAGGGGGCCCTTTTTTGCCCACCGAGGGTGTCGGAGATGTGGGGGTTGCTATCCCGGATTGCGGGTTTTTATGGCATAAAGGGGGAAAGGGTATGGCAAGGGTTTCCATGTGCATCTGCGCTATGGGTTTTTTGGAGGTCCCTTGGGGGCGGAGGGGGGGTTTTCCCGGCCCTTTCTTCCCCCTGGGAACTTTCCTCCCCCCCCTTTTTTTTTTTCTTTTTTTTTTATTTTTTTTTATTTTCTTTTTTTTTTCTTAAAAAAAAAAAGCAAAGGAGTAATAACGGGCCCACCCCTAGCCCATAAAACCCAAACACCCCGGGCCCCCTTCTTGTTTACCCCCCCATTCGGGCCCCTGTTGTTTTTTAGACACTCTTCGGACCCCCCTGATCCCCCTTTTCCCTCTTGTGGTGTGTTTCCTAAGTTGGGTAGGGGGGCTTGGGTTGGACCCCTTCGATTTGCCCTAAAACTCGCTTCCTTTGACTTTGTTCCGGTTCTCCCTATTTTTAGGGAAAATTTTTCGAATTGCCCCCCCCTTTTCCCACCCCGGCCAACCCCGGCCCTTCCTAAACCCCAACTTTCAATTCCTGTTTGATGTCCTTGTTCCCTTCCCATTTACTCAAAAAAAGCCCGGCCCGTAAACCCACTCCTTCCCCAACGCTCTTTTTGGGGGACCACAAAAATGGCTAAATTCTTTACTTTAAGATCGACTTCTTTTTTCTGCCAAATTTTTTAAACCATAGTTTTTGGAAAAGCGCTCCTGGTCAGGTTGGCGGGATATTTCATTTCATCCCTCTAAAGGGGCGGTACGCGCATCGTCATGTCCAGAAGGGCTACCCAAGCTCATGTTTCTTTCTCCCCTTTCAAAATATCGATACTACCCCTATCACTTTTGGGAAAAAAAATTTTTCTCTCAATTCTTTAGTGGTACTGTCTTTCTGCCCCATCCCATAGTCCAACAAAAATTTCCAGTCTTGGGGGCCAATAAATTTTTTTAAACGGGGCGGGAAATCCAGGATCCCCCAACCTCAAAGTAGAAAACTTATGCCCTTCCTCCCCGGGGGCGGAGGAACTTTTCCCTTTGCAATGTGGCTTGTTTAATTTTGCCACCCGAGAACTGTCTCTGTTATGTCGGGGGAAACTTTCGGTTACAAGTTAAAAAAGGTGATACTACCCCCGCAAAAAATGTGAAAAAATTGCTGGCTTTTTGGTCCCCCAGGGGAAATTTTTGCAGATCTGGGGGGAATCCCCGGGTCTTTTGGTGCGCGACCATTCTAATACATTTTTGCGCCCAAACCCTTTCCATTTTTCCTTAATTGAAATTAAAAGTCCCCCTTCGTATTTCCCCCGTTCCCAGGTTAAAATGAAGTGAAACCCGTTCCCTAAAAGAGGCAGAAGGTCTCCCTTAGTTTATGGCAGAAAACCCCCTCTCCCTCCAAGGGGGGAAAACAACCCGGTTTCTTTTTTCTGGTTTTTCCCAAAACACCCCCCATTTGGGGGCCCAAATCTTCGGCAGCCTCCTCGGGTTTGTTACCCCCCCATGGGCACTCGGCATTTAATCTTTTGCCCGGGGTTTGGAAGCCCCGACTAAAATCAGTCTGTTCTAAAAATTTCGAAATTCCTTTCACAACCCCCGGTATCGCCCAAGACCTGTACGACCCCTAATTCCAAAATCGCCCCCCCTATCGAATAAAAAAATCCCCCTTTGGCTAAACTTTTTTTTGCCCCCCTTCCTTCTTCCCCCTCCACATTTTCCCTTTTTCCCAGTTCTGAAATTTAGTTTTCCCTTTCGGGCCCTCTTTTACAAGTGTGGAGATTCACCCTCCCCCTTTGTATTTATCCCTTTCCCACCCCGCCCCTCTAAAGTTTCTCCTTTCTGCCACCTTCCATTTCTCCCCTCTTCTGCCCCCCCCCCACTTTTTTTCCCCCGGGCCCTTCCACTTTTGCCCCCCCTCAATTTTGGGGTTTCAGTCCTTTCTTCCCATCTTTATAAAACCCTTTCTTCCCCAAAAATTTGGTCTCCCATTCATCTTCAAATTTCCAAAAAACACTTGAAGCCTTTTTGAAAATATTCCCGAGACAAAACCCTTCAAGGGGACACTGATTCACTTCCTGTTCCTTCTCTTCCCTCTCCCCCATTTCTAAACCCATTTTGAAAGGGGCTCCATTCCTTCGTACTTGAACGTCTTCCAAAAGGCCCCCAACCCGTTTTACTTTTTTAACCCCTTAGTCCCTTGGTTTCCTTTAAACCCACAGATTTTGGTATTTTTTTCCTCGCAATCATGGCCCCATTTACTGGGGGAATATCCCCGGCCTCCGGGGTTTTCGGGGTGAGCTTTGATGTTGCTTTCCCGGGTTTTCCCCCGGTTTGGGGCTTTGGTTACATAAAACCCCAAAATTTAAAATCGGTGTTTTCCAACCCATCTGGCTATAATTTATTTTATTTTCGGATTCTTTCTGATGGGCCTTTAATGAAAATGCCCTTTTTTACGGCCAAAGATTTCCGTACTGTCCAATTTTTTTCCCTACCCCAGCTCCTTACACTGCAGCCGTTTCCATTGAAAAAAGTGGTTTTTCAAAATGTTCTTTTATCTCTCTTCTCGGGATTTTTTTATCCAGACTTTGCCTTTCTTTTTTAAACCTTACTGCCCCCACCTTTTGTTACTTGGTGTTTTTAAAGCCAAAATTTTCCCCTGGGGGGGGGTTTTTTATGGGGATCATGTGGCATCCCCGTTGGAGGTTTTTTTCACCTCTCCCCCGCTCCCTGTTTTAAAATTTGGGTTAAATTTCCCCATTTTGGGTTCCCCGTACTCCCTTTCTCTCTCTTGCATCGATCTATCAGTTGCTTTCCTCCCCTGCACTAGACTTCACCCGGTCTGGGTTTCCAGACTTCCCGGGGGCATTATTTTGATTTATTCTTAAATTTCCTTTATTCCCCCCTTTCCCTGCCTCGTGGCAATTTGATTGGGAAATTGGATCCCTTTTTAAAACCCCATGCCTTTAGTGAGGTTCCTTCTTCATCCCCCATTGAAAGAGCTCCTCACATCTTCACGACGGGCAGTTTTTTTACCCCAGCCTTTTCAATTTTAAACCCCAAAAAACCTTTAGGGCAGGGGATTTCAGAGTGCTTTCCTTGGTGGTCTCGCTTGTGCTCGTTTCAGAGTTTGAAAAGGGCATGGGGAGGTTTCGGTACCTAGAAAAACCCCCTGAGAGACCCTTTTTGGAAATTTTAAGGGAGAAAGGGCGATCGCCCCGCCCTTTTTATCCTTTTGGTAAAAGCCTTTTTGGCGGAAAATATGTTTCCCCCTCCCCTGGTTTTCTAGAGTTTTCAGTTGGAAAAAAAATGAGGAAAAAAGGTGGTTTAAAAACTTTTCCCCACCCCGGGTCCTGTTTAGGGTGTGGTGTTGATGTAGAAACCTCTTTCCCGGGTTTCCTTGGGAAATTTTGGGGGAAAACTTGGTCCGTTTTTTCCCCCGGGGGTCCATCTATGCTCCCCGTTTTTTTTCCCCAAAGTCTGCCAAAAGAGGTTTGTACCCTTTTGGGCTTTTTTCTCTCAGAGAAGAAAAAAGGATAATTTGCCCTTTTAACCCCTTCAAAAAAACTGGGGGCAACGTCTCAGCTTTTCCGATCATCGGGCCGTGGGCCCCGCGACATTTTTTTGTTTTGTTACAACATTTTCATGGTCAGCCCTTTTTAGTCCTTTACCCTTCAACTTATTTGGGCAAAGGGGGGTTCTTCCCCAGCGTGGAAATCTGCCATTGTTTCTTTCCCCTTTCCCCAAACCGGGGGACACGGCCTGATGCCCCACTATGCCCCATCGTTTAAAAGTTTTCCGTTTGCCAAAATGATGGAAGTCTCGTAAAACGCGTTTTTTTAATGTGGTATTTAGTGACACAAACAGGGTTTTCCCCTAGTTCCCAAAAAGGCTTTTGTAAGGGTGTTTTTCCCCTGACCTCTTATCGTTTTGGGTTTCGTTGTTCGTAATGCTTTTGCAATTTAAACACTCTTTTTTTTGCCATATTTTTTTACCCTTTAGAAGGCATTTTGCACAACTTTGGGGGTTTAATTTTTGGCCCCCGGCCCCTTCCTTTGGGCCCCCGAGGGGAAAACTACCCTTTTCCCTTTCCCCTTTAAAAAACTTTTTAAAGACAGGGCATTTCGTGTTCGAGTCAATAAGGTTTTTTCCCCGGGGCTTTGTCCAAGTGAAGGTTGCCCCCCAGGGTTTTGTTCTAAGACAACAAAATTTTTTTCCTTGCTATAAATTTTTTTGGCCTTTTCTTGCACTCAGTATTTGGGCATCACTTATGTTAAATGACTTTGCTA